CGGGGACGGAAGGAAGTGCCCAGCGCCTTGCCTTCGGAGTTCCTGGGGCTGAGGAGGGGGCCCAGGCACAGCTCCCACCCACCTTAACTTCGTTCCTTGGTGAGCGTCCAGCTCTCTGCCTGGTCTTGTCCCATCTCCCCACAACCGGGCAGCCCCAACTCAGACCTCGCAGGGCCTATGGGCCACTTAACAAGGGCTGGCCTCTGTTAGTAATTAAAATATCTGAGGAGACTTTGAAGAGGAAACCATTAGGCCTGGGGCTGGGGAGGCCCCAGGCTGCCCTCCCAGGCGAAGGGACAGGACATTCCTCCTTGGCTCTGGAAGGCGGCCCAGCAGGGCGCCAGATCAACACTCCTCACCCTCACCAGGAGCTCTGGGGCCGACAGGGGGGTCGGGTAAGAGCAGCCGCCAGCGTGGGAGGGCCCAGCTCGCTCAGGGAAGGCAGGGGCAGGGAAGCAGGCCGGCAGCAGGCCCTCGAGCCCGGGGCCAACTTCAGAGGCACTCTGCACCCTCCAGTCCAGCACCCACAGATATATGACCCTTCTGACATAGGCCTTGCCCTGCAGAATGGCCCCAGCAGCCACCCCCCATCCCCCTGCCCAGACCAGGCAACCAGTACCTGAAAGAGGGTCAGCGTGGGGTCCTCCAGGGTGGTTTTTGGAGGAGTGATGACTGTGGAGAGATCATTGTCTTCATGAGGAAGGCTTCACCCCTTGCCCGTTCCCAGGGAAGACTGGCCTGAGGCCCAAAGCCTCAGCGGGGGGTATTCTGAAGAACCCTCAGCCCACAGCCCTCGGCCCACTTCTCTGCTGAGGCAAAAACCCTGGTGAGGAGCTTGGGTATGGGGAGTGACCTAGGGCAGACCCCCTGCAGGGACCCCAGCCCTCACCACCCAGATGGCCGCCTAGGGAGGCCAGTGCCCCTATCCACACATCTCCCGGACACAGGGGGGACAGCCACCGAGCCAGGCAAAGGTCCCAGACTTGTCCTTGGACACCAGCCTGCCTGGCCACGACGCTGTCTCTATGGGAAAGCTCGGAGGTGAGATGCACAGCAGGTCTGGGAGCAGCACTCACACAGGTGGAAGGGTAGCTCAGGATTCCCTAGGTGGCTTCTCACGAAATCCTGCAGGTCCCCAACTGAGGAGAAAGGACAGGGTGAGCAGGGGTCCCGCAGGGCTGCAGGACCCCAACCAGACGTGGCCCAATGCTGGCCCACTATGGATAGAACAGACCAGGTACAACTTCTGCACAGGTGCCCACTACCCTACAGGCCTGGCCACACCTAGCTGGCCTTGGGGTCTTCCCACCAGCCCTGAGCAGCCCGGCCTGCCCCATCTTGGGCATGCGGGACACTGCTCTCACCCTCAGGCCTGATCCAAGTCCTGGGGGTGGAAATTCAAGCTTGTTCCTCCCATTGTACCTGAGATGCTCAACTGGACCGTGGCCACCTCCAGCACCCCCAACCCTGCAGAAACGTTCCCACTGCCTTGCCCTGTCCAGAACTGGGGGCACTGGTGTGTTCCTTCTGGGTGAGCTGCAGCCCCAGGCCAGAGGCTCTGCTGGTGGGTATGGGGAACTCTGGGCCCACCCTCCCTCTGCGTGGCCCTTTGTCCAGTCACCACCAGGCGGGCCTGACAAGCACCTGACGTGAGTCAGCCCCAGCTCTGTCCGCACTAGACACGCTCTGTAGGCTCAGAGCCCCCTGCCTGCAACCCAAAAACACTAGCCTCTGAGTCCAGGGGCCAGGCGGCCACAGTCCCACAGCCTGGAAAGAACATTGGGGGGTGCTCGGAGGGGCCCATACCCCTCCTGGGCCCTAGGCGAGGCCTCTCTCACCTGTCTCACTGGGACGGAAGAAGCCCTGCAGGATGTAGCGGTCCGGGAACAGGACCCTCAGGACCACCTGGGCCGGGACAAGTCGAGTTGTCAGGATAGCCAAGGCTCTGCCTAGGCGCAGGGAGGCAGCTGCACCCCTGGGCCCACAATGACCAGGACCCCACCTGGGGGGCAGGCGGAAGTGCCAGCCACCCCTTGCATTTGCTGTCCCCCCACACTCGGGCTAGACCTATGACCATAGCTCACTGTGCCAGGGCTGGATGTGAAGGCCATCTAGCACCCCGGCCCGCGTTTGTAAAACACATGGCCTTTTGTTCTCATCAAAACGGGAGGCCAACAGTCTTTAATGGACCGAGGCTGTGCAGGCACAGGTGACACACAAGTGAGCACATTTGGTGGTAAGTGCCCTGCAGTTGCTGCAGGACGACCCAGCTCAGCCACACCAACACCCAGCCCCTCCAGTACCTTAGGGTATCGCTCCAGCTTCTCCTTCATCTGAGCCTCCCTAAAGGCCTTGGTCACTAAGGGGGCTTCTTCCAGGCGCTTCCTGTGGAAGGGGTGGGTGAAGGTCCCGAGTCTCCCCAGCCAGAGTGGAGGCCCCACACCAGCAGGATGGGACAGAACTGGGCACCCCCGCCTGGATCCCACACCCTCTGAGGGGCTGCCATGGGTTTGGGTGTTGGGGGCTTGAAATGGGAAGCAGGGAGACACCACAGGGGCTGGGGGCAAACCCACCGCTCACTCTTGAGCTGAGCCAAGCGCCGTCTCACGTCATCCACGGTCACCTCGAAGAACTCATCGGGCAGCTCTGCAGGCCAGGCCTGAAGCAGCTCCTCCAGGTCAGGGTGGCACACCACGGGGTCCCGGTCCACTGGCTGCCGGGCAGAGGGATCGGCTGATGCAGGTCCCAGGTGCCTGGCCACCTGGTGCTGGGTCACCCAGGCCCTGCAGCTGGAGCAGCTGTGCACCCCTCCGTCAAGCCCAGGCCCCACTGATTAGCCCATGGCCAGGGCCAGGTGTCTAGGTGGGGTATGGGACAGCCAATCTCTCACGCCTGCCTGCCTCCCTCACTCCCCAGCAGGACACCTGGACCTGGGGTCTCGGCTCAGTCCCTGCTGAGGGGACTCAGGCAGTGGGGTGAGTCGTGCTCCGCAGGACCAGCCTCTCTCAGCAGCCCCTTTCTCATTTCCTGCCATCAGGGTCCCCAGAGCTCAGGGAGCAGTGCCCTCATCAAGGCCACGTCAGGGGCTCCAAGGGAGGAGCAGGGGAAGCGGTAGCCCCCAAATTAGAGGTTTGGCAAAAACCTGCCAGCCGCTGGCCCCACAGCCAGGCTGACCCCACCTCCCCTCCCCAAGGGAGCAGCCTGGCCCTGCGTCTGCCCACCCTGGGGACACAGGAAGGGCCAGCGTCACTCCTAATTGGCAGCAAAGTCGATGGAAATTACAAGGCAGGGCTTGCTCTGCGTGTGGTGCCTCGGGGTGGGTAACTGCAGTGAGCGTGGGGCCTCTTGGCACTGAAGCCGCGTGGAGCTGGCCTGAAGGAGGTGTCTGCACCAGGTCCCGTCCTCCCGTACACAGAAGGCTGACAGCCATCTCAGGAGGGGCCGCCCAGGAAGCTGCCTCTGGCCTCTGCCCCTGCTGGTCTTTCACTGCCCCACCCCACCTGGGCCTGACAGGGTCCGGGAACACGCTTCTCTGATCATCTCTTTCCACAGCCCTGCCAGTGTTCAAGGTCAGACTCACTGTCCTGGGCATGGCCAGGCCCAAGCCGCTCAGCATCCAGGAACCTGCTCCCCAATGCACCTGCCAGGTGTCTCCAGGGCTGCCCTCCCCCAGCCACACCGAGGCCTTGACTACACTCTGGGAGGTCCCTGCAGTCACCAAGCGCACGGCCGTGTCCCGTCTCAGGTGCTCTCCCTGGGTCTGGAGGGAGGTGCGCTGTTAGGAAGCCCCTCCGATGGTGCCATGGGCAGTGGCCAGGAAGGGCCGGCGGAGGCCTGGGAGCAGAGCCCGTAGGTGGCTGGCTGAGGCCCCTGGGGACTTCCCCTTCAAAGCCACAGCCTTCCTGCAGCCGCCACTGGCAGTCTATGCCAAAGCTTTTTATAACAAGATGCCAGGCGCCGGGCTGCCCCCCACAGCCACGGCGCCTGCATTCCAGAAGGGCCAGTGCCGGGCTCCTGGGGGAGGGCGAGGGCAGGACAAGGGTGGCCTGAGCCAGGCGGCCGGCCGAGCGCGTGAGTGCCAGGCCGGGTGCTCTAGCAGGAAGCCGACACACGTGCGCCTTGAGAACGCAGCACTGGGTGATGTGCCGCCTGGCATGGAGCTGGGCCTGACCATGCAGATGGGTCCCCAACCCAGGACACGGCCAGGGAGCCAGGCCCAGGGGCATGTGGCCTCACTGTCCCCGACACTTTCAGGGGACAGCTGAGACCCAGAGCTGCTGACACGTCCTGGCCCCAGGCAGGCTGTACCACAGGGACTCACATACGATGGGAATGGGTGCCTGGGCTGGCAGGAAATGTCACCTTGCCACCCAGTGACGAGGGAGAAGCAGGGGCTTCACACCTCACCTTGGTCTTCCCAGGAGAGAGCGTCTCCGCTGCCAAGGGGAGCAGGTGGTGACAGAGGGGCTGGTCTGACAGCTCCTCTTGGGAAAGTGGGCACCGGCCTCACACTGAGTGGGGGAGGCCAAAGCTGGTGGCCCCCAGGCCAAGCCCTGGCCCTGCTCACTGCAACCTCTCAGCCGCCATCTAACTGTTCCCTGGTCACGGACAGGTGTTACCCACCGCTCCCATCTGAGGTGGGTTTACAGAGATGTTTTTGGATGGAGAACAGAGGTCCAGGCTGAGACATCATTAGGAATAAAGACACACAGGGTGGCAGACTCGAGGGAAAACCACGCACTGGAGCCCCCTCCACAGGGCGTGAGTCCGGCATGCTGGCCAGGGCTAGGCCCTGGGGTCCGAAAAGGGGTCCCCAGATGAACCTCATGGCTGGTGCCAGAGGCCGCCGGCTGGGTCACAGGCTTTGAATGAGGGAGCCCAGAGCTTTCTCAGCAGTCCTGACGGCTGACCTTTGCAGCCTGAATCCGCCGGTCCACTCTGCCGGTGGCCACGGACATACATGGAGAATGCACCTAGATAACAGTGGCCAGGGGCCCGGGTGGCCAGTAGGAGGGAAAGGAGCAGCCTCCTCCACCCAGGGTAACAGGACAGCACTGGGCAAACGCTGAACTGACACCCAGGCCATCCAGAGGTGGGGGCTCAGTGAGCAGCTGCCAGCTGTGGATGGCCATCAGCACCTTCAGAAAGAGTCCCCGACACGCTGGACGGGCCTTGGAGAGGGACCTGGAGGGAGCAAGGCCTGAGAGCACTGGGCGCCGGCCCCACACCATGCTCAGTGTGGCTGACAGACACAGCCAGGGCCAGACATGGAGTGGACCAGGGCGCCGGGCTCTGGGCCGAGACGTGGGCCTGACGGTCTCTGGATAGTTGGGGGACACACTCCAGCCGCCACCACACAAGTGGTGAGAACCACTTGGGCTTAGGGTCCCCCTCCTGGCAGGAGTGGCCTCGCTGCCGCTGAGGTTCATTTTCTTGACAGTAATTTTCCAGGATGTGATGACACCCAAAGAAAAAATGTAGAAACTATGTGGAGGTGACCTCAAGCCCAGATTTCCCAGCTTCCTTGTGAGGGCTCTTGTCCCCTCCTCCCGCCTCCCGCGCAGCCAGACTATCCTCTGACAATGGCTTGGGGAAGAGGGAATGCAAAGCGTTTCCCCTTGAGGCTTGGAGCTTAACCGAATCACTACGCGAGGGACACAGGCCAAACCTCCCGAGTTACTCCCAGAGCCAGCCAGCCCTGGAGGGCGCACTGGAGACTGGACCCTGCCACAGTCCAGGGCGAGCGGACTGGATTGCCCTGGACACCGAGGCCCTGACGCGAAGCTCGCAGAGACGCAGGGCCCCTCAGCCCCAGCCAGCATGAGGCCCGCCCCCCATTTCGAACAGAAGAAACGAGAAGTTTTTAAAAAGCCGAGTACAGGGAGGCTAAACGCTGGGCCATAGCTGTGACACCACACGCTGTGAGGCTGAGCACTCCCCGTGTCTGTGGCGTGGCTGGGCGCCCATCCCTGTGGGTCAGGTGAATGTACCCAGAGAACGGAGATAAAAGCAGGGTCTCCTCATCTACAGGCTGACAGCTGCCCCTGGGGAGCCAGACAACAGCCCAAAGTCAACAAGCCCGAGGGGCAAACATGCACACCAGGCTGAAGGCGCACAACCCCTGTAGAGAGGAGCTCAGGCCCAATCAGGACAGGGCTGCAAACCAGGACCCCAGCTCACCCGTAACACCCCCCAAGTGCAGTCTCGGCTAAGACACAGCAGGACAGACAGATGGCTGGAGGGCACCTGCCTGTCACCAAGCTTCAAAAACTGCTGCCCTGCCTGGCCGGCGTGGCTCAGCGGTTGAGCATCGACCTAGGATCCAGGAGATCGAGGTTCGATTCCCGGGTTGCAGGCTCGATCCCCAGCAGGGGGCGAGCAGGAGGCAGCCGATCAACGACTCTCATCATTGATGTTTCTCTCTCTCCCTCTCCCTTCCTCTCTCTGAAATCAATAAAGATAATTTAAAACAAACAAAAACAGAAACTGCTGCCATCTGCCAACAGAGCCCCATGGCTGGGGCTGCGGCCGGAGCACAGGGCGTCCACAAACACGGACAGGGCATAGCAGCGACAGGCACCCACACTTTGGGCCTGCTCTTGGGAGGACATCATGGGCAGGTGTCCCCAGCCAAGAGGAGGAGGGCAGCCGGGCAGTGAGGGGAGCCACTCTCCATATGAACAGGCTCCTTCCTAGGCCCTGCCTGTCAACCACGGAGCAAACCAGGGAGTAGGACAGTCAGAGACAAGGCTGCCGCCTGCCCTGAGACAGGGTGCAAGGCCCAGAGGAAGTGCCAGGTCCAGGTCTTGGGGGAGGGGAGACCACCCCCTGGAGGGTGACAGGCGCAGGGAGACCACTGTCAGTCCCCCATCCTGCCCAGGGACCGGGGCCTTTGATCAGGAGCCCCTGTGCCAGTGCGTGGGGAGTGCCTGCTGGGATGGCTGCCCCGGTGCACGGAGCTGCGGGGAGGCCTCCTGGCCAGGGAAGGACTTCAAAGGACAGGCCAGGGGCCGCCAGGCAGCCCCAGTTTCTGCCCGAGCCCGATTCTGATGGCCAGTTAAACCACCTTCTAATAATTAATGTCCCGACATCAAAGGCAGGAGCCGCCGGGTCTGTAAGCCATCCTGGGCCCCAGCCGAGGACCTGCCTGTGTTCTACCCTGTCTCTTTTGACTCTTCATTTAAATCCAAAACCACACACAGGCTGAACATTAATGGGAAACTTGGGAGCCCTTTTTGATTACTAAAGTGCACCTTTGAAGTTCCCCCAAAAGTTCTGTTTTGTTCCCTTCTCCCCTCCCCCAACACTGAAAAGGGACACAAAGCAGACACCATGTGGCCGGCCGGCCCTCTGGGTGTGCGGCTGTTAGTGACAGGAGGCACAGGCGGGCGGGGGACGCTCCACCACCAACCAGCTGCTGGGGCTCCCAGATCAAAGGCAGCGCTGCTGGCGGCCAGGCGGACCCCTCCTGCCTGGGGCCCAGGGTCAGTGCTGGGGGTGCACCAGGATCCTGTGCCCTGACAGCAACCCCCACCGGGAGAGCATAAGCCCAGGCCTCCCCCAGGTGCCCATGGGGCTGTCAGCAGGTTCCCAAGAGACACAGAGAGCCAGCGATCCACTCCATGCAACCCTGCCAGGGGACCGCTGCCACCCCACCCCAGATAAACATTCCTGGAACTCAGGACTGGCTTGGTGCCCGGGCCCCTGCCCCATCCACTCAACAGGGGACACCGAGGGTGGTGTGGGGAGCAGTAAGTCCTGCCGCCTACCCCTCTGCTGGGACCCAGGCTCCACTCCACAGCTGAACACTCCCGCCAGTGGGCACAGGTGCCCCTGACCCTTCAGCCTCCCCAGGTGTGTGACCTGGAGGCAAGAGTGAGGAGGGGAATCCAGAGGATACAGGATGGGGGCAGTGGGCTTCAGCACCACGACCTCTAGGGCCTGTTTCACTTATGCACACACAAAACTCTGAACTGATACATGAGTTAACCACGAGCAACAGTGTAGCTAAAGAGGAAACACACTGAACCTGGACTGCCCCCTGGAATGCAAGGACGGCTCACAGGGAACACACCCCAAATCTCACCACTGGAATGCACAGGAGAGAGAAGGCGTATCATTACCTCGATGTAGAAGGAGCACTTTACAAAGCTCAACACCTATTTATGATAAAGTTCTCAGGAAACTAGGGCTAGAAACGCTTAACTTGGTAAAAGCTTTTCACGGCTCACATAATCAATCCTTCGTAGATAAACCACAGGTGACCCCCGTCAAGGTCAAGACAAGGACACCCACTAAAAGAGGTGCTGTCCAACAAACACCGGAGAACAAGAAGTTGTCAGGAAAAGGGCCTAAAGACGACAAAACTGACAGCATCTGCGGGAACCGCAGCTGGAACTAAGAAGCTCCTGGACGTGAGGAAGGAGATGAGCGAGGCTGTGGTATAAACAGCATCTCAGACAAGCTCCCGGCACCGCGGGGCTGTTCTAACCAACTTTCTTGTCACTTCCCTAAGCACCGTGCAATGGCTCCCCCCACCTGCAAAGGTGATTGGTGACGGGGAATTTTCTCAGCATCTGAAATCTTGAGTGGATCCTGTATGGACACATGTTGTGGGTGCAGGTGTACAGCCACCCTGGTCATAAGGAAAGGGCACAGGAGGGTGGCGAGCTTGGGCCCTGGGCATACACACAGCAGCGGTATCTCAGGGCGACGCCCACCCACACCTGCACAGCTTCGGACTGCACAAGTATGGCATGCAGCCCAGGCTGGAAAGCCAGGCTGGGTCCCATGGTCAGGTGTCCTTCTTGGTATTCCCAATGCTTAGTCAGCCGTGAGCCAAGCTGGACTCCAGGTGGACGACCAAAGAGGCAGGGGAGCCCAGGGATGCCCAGGGGCCCAAGACATCTGGGGAACTGCAATGAGCCTTTGTTGGTAACAGGAGATGGATGTGAGATGCTGAGGAAGCAGTCAGAAGGACCCTACGAGTGCAGCCTCTGGGCCAATGACAACCACACTGCCTGCTCCCAACCCCGTGGACACCCTGTTGCGAATCATGGAAACCTAGCTAGAGTTCCAGAGGTGCTCTGAGGAGAAAGTCTGTCATTACCACTCAGGGGGAACCAACCTGACAGGTAGCCCAGCCTGTCTTCCCTCCGGGAGGAAGCTCCCACGTGGCTGCAGCTGGCCAGGGCAGGGCCTGGGCAAGTCCGGTCTGACCCACAAAGAGGCAGAGGTGGCCTCAGGGACTGTACCACTGGACACTGACAGTCCACCCAGCACACGCCTAGAGGTCCCATTGCTCTGGGGGCTGCGCTCCCTGCCCCATTACTGCCTGCACACTGTGTGGTCAGGGAAGCAGGGGGTGGGCATCTGTAGGGGCAGGTGTGAGACTCAGAAGTGGGTGACGAGTGAGTCAGAGACTGATCAGGCACCAAGAAGGCAATGTGCTGCTTGCAGATCTGGACCTTGCTCCCCGATAGCAGCTGTGTCTATGCAGTAAATTGTACCCCAAAAACTGATCAGATGGGACGGCAGTGGACTGAGGCACCGGATGCGCACAAACGCCCGAGAGCTCAGCCTCTGTGTTACAGGCCTCCATGCTGAGGGGCAGAGGGCCAGCGGGACAATCAAGGCCCAAGCCACCTTCACATCAAAACCACCAGCTGGCAGAGGCACCACCAGGGACAGGAGTGCTGAGTCCCCACACCCAGGTAGAAGGCCAATGGGAAGGCAGGGGTCACAGGGCATGTGAGTTTGTCAAAACCCATCCAATTACACCTTAAAGGGTGCCTCGGTGAAGCAATTTAAGACAAAAGCAACCCAAAAGGTCACTTCCATGAGATGAAAATGCACCTAGCCAGCCTGCCGCCCCCAGGCTGATGGGCTGAGAGGCCAAGTGTGGTCAGAAGGACCCCCAGCGCCCAGCTCACTGCTTACCGGCTCTGGCTCTGGTGGGGGCCTCGACTTCTTCGGCTTGGAGGGGCCTCCAGGGCTGGAGAAGGACTTGGGCACCTTGGTGGAAGGTGACATCAGACACCTCGCAGACCCACAGGGGCCCCCCAGGCGCTGTCCCCCTCCAGAGAAAGGCACGAAGGGGGCTGGCGTGGGCTCCTCTGAGATGTACTTCGCCTGGGCATCCAGGGGCTTTGGGCCTGCTCCTGAGGTGCCAGCTTCGTCCCGATGGCTCACGTCGCCCCGGCTGAGCCCTGCAGAGTCCAAGGGCAATAGAGGGCTGCCAGCTGCCTGCTCGGCGGACAGGGAGGGGGTCGGGCTTGCTGGGCTTTTGCTCCAAGAGACCCCAGGCTCCTGCTTGATGACCGGGTCACAGCGCCTCATGGCAAACCTGGGGGGCCCAGAAAGAGTGTGAAACTCCACACACGGGGCTCAGCATCCGGGTCTCACCACCCATCTCCCACCCCCAAGCTACAGAACCCTGGCAGTGGCCTCAGATTGAGTGGTGAGGGCCACAGAGCCACGTGTCCTTCACTTTTCCACACTTCCTGATCCTTTTCTTAGAGACCCCATTTCTGTCACAGAACAAGATTCAGAGGCCCCCACCTGATGATGGCGCTGCCCCCAGTGAGGCCCAGTGACTGCAGCGTCGTGCTCTGCAAGGCAGCTTTGCCGGTCACCTGTGAGAGGAGAACAGGACAGATGTGCCCACAGCATTCGCTGACCCCTCACTGACAAAGCCCCCCTGCCTGGCCTAGGCCAAGGCTTCACGCTGACCCAGAGGAAGGCACCAAGGGCCCTGCCCACCTGCTTGACCCATCTACACAGCCGCCCCCACTGAGACACGGACACCACAGGGTCGCCAGCAGCTCCTGAGGCACAGGTCCAGCCTTGTGCACCCCAACCTGCATCTGAGCATTTGTTCCAGGGTCAGGGTCTGTCCCCTGGCCCCACCCCATCTGAGGTTAGCCACATCTGGTCAAGTGACTAGCCCTCTGAGGCTGCACAGACCATGACAGCCCTCATTTGGGCCCAGATGCCTGTCTCCTCCAGGTGAGGACAGGTCCCCCAGGTCCCTCCTGCTCACAGCCTAGGAACCCCTTCCCCTCACAGCCCTGATGGGCATGTTCCACCCACACTGAGGCCTCCCGGGGCCCCTCGGGGACATGGCTACCCCAGGCTAGGAAAGGGCATTCAGCCAGGGCTGAAACAAAAAGCCCCTGTCAGCCAGGGGACCATGCGCCAGGAGGGTCCCCGTCACGGGCAAGCGGGCGGGGACAGGCGGGGCTCTGCCAGGCTGGGCCTGCACCATGCTGCACTCGGTTTTGAAAAAGATCAAAACGGAGCAAAGCAAATATTTATTAAAATAAAACCACTTTTGTGACTCTCGGGCTTTGAGAGAAGCTGAGAAAACAAACAAGGCGTTGAGGGAGGTTCTGGAGCAGCGGCCGTGTGGTTAGTTCCAGCGGAGCCGGCTCTGCTCTTTCCATGAAACACATCCTGCTTTCAGAGCATCCCCCGCGCCGCTTTGAAGGCAGCAGGAGGAGAGTGAGTTTTCCAGATTGGAAACGGGGCTGGGCCGGCGTGGCGACGGGAGAGGGCAGTGGGCCCGGGCCACGCGGGTGGGGCTGCAGTGCCTACCTCATCCCTCATGTACACGCAGACCGGGCTGGCCTCCTGCGGCTGCTCCAGACACGCCCTGCAGGAGAGGGAAAAGCATCACAAGCTGCCACTGGCGTGCAAAACACCAGTGCTCTTGGGAGGGCACCCCAGGAACAAGGCCCCCCATGGCCATCACCACACAGCCTGGGTGTCTCTCACCAGCCTCCGGCCTCAGGCTCAGAATGCGAAGAAGACACCGAGCAGGGGAGTGAGCAGCACCACCACCTCCTGATGAGCCTCAGGTCACTGTCAACTGTGTCCATGGTCAGCACTAAGAGTCTGGGGCTGTGACCTGGGCTTTTATCTGAAGCCAACCTCCAGGAGGGTTGTCAACCCCACAAGTGCCAGGAGTAGCTCAGGGCACAAATCCACTAAGTGATTCTGAGGACAGAGGCCCAGATCCCTGAGGCTGCGAGCACCCTGACTGCTGTCCCCTCCTCCTCGATGGCACGGGCAATGCCGGGACAAAAGGCCGAGGTCCTCCCAGGAGCCTCGCCTGGGGAGGGTGCTGGGTGCCTTCTCATTGAACTGTGTCCAGACGCCTCATAGTCAAGCAGGAAAGGCCACACATGGCCACCAAGATCACTGTCACCAACAAACAAGAAAAACAAAACTGAAGGCCTTGAGATGCTTGTGCAGCGGGGCCACCTGAGCACTTGGCCACGAGTCACACACAGGCTAGGCACTGAGGCCACTCGGGCAAAAGCAGAGGAAACACCACAACTCCACCACAGACGCTCTCCGTTGTCTGGGAAACAGCAAACGCAGCCAGTGCCCCCACCCCATACCCTCACCCTGCCACCAGGTCACTGAGGGTCGGCTGATGGTCACTCTTACCCTGGAGGCCCTGTTCTCCAGCGAGATGGCAGCAGGCACCCGCTCACACCAGACCCGTCACCAACATCCTTTCTCCTCATAAACCAGACCCTGAGATGGGACAGAGCAGCCCCCAGGAGAACAGCTGGATGGGCTGGAAGGATGGCAGGCATGTAGGCGCACTCACATCACATGCACACTCACGTTCACACCCACACCCTCACGTGCAGTCACGTACACACATGTGCACACACACATGCATGTGTAGGCCTAACGACACCAACTTGCACCACACTGACCACCAGGTTATGTACGGGGCCACCAGCTGGCCAAGTCCTGGCTCTGGAGCTTGTGACCACAGAGGGACATTCACTCCTGTGTTTCCTGACACACAATCGTCAACTAGCCCCTCCTCCAGAGGGTGAGCCCCAGAGGCTGGGCCCACAGAGCAGGAAGCCTGTGGTGACTTCAGCCATGCAAGACTGCCCTGTGTCACTGCGTCATGGCTCAAGCGCCCACGGGGCCCCAAGACTGACCAGGTCCTCTGTGTGGCTCTGGTGTGGGTTCTGCCCATTTCTCATCTGATGTTAGCTTTTGCTCGTGCGTGTTCACATGGCTGAGACCCACAATCCAGGGCCAGCTGTGGGGCCCCTGGGAGAGGTGCAGCCCTGCCCTTGCCGGGCCATGGCACCACCAGCTTCCTGAGGTCCCCCCAAGGAAGTGGGAGACCTGGGCTGACAGCCTTGCCCAGAGCAACCTGAAGGGCTGGGACCCAGCCCACCAAGACCCAGTGACCCCAGACCTCAGGAAAGCACAAGACCCCAAAGTGCCTGAGCGACAGCCACTGCAATCCTTCCCCTGGGACCCGATGCCAGAGGGACCACAAATCACAAGCAGGGCTGAGCCGCTGCCTCCTGCCGGAGGAGGCCCAGGGACATCAAACGCCAGCCCGGCTTTGATGTGCGGCTCCTCCAGAGGGATCAGATTCCGAGTGGATCTGAGGGAGACGCCTGTAAACACGCGAGGGGAGGGGCGGCCGCAATCACTTCCAGACCTTCCTGGCCAATTAGCAGAGCTCCGTGGGCCGGGAGAGCTGACGGACATTCCAGCTCACAAGGAGCCGCCCCTTACACACCCTCACTCAAGTCCCCAATGTCTCCAACGGGGCTGAGCAGGGCCTCCAAGGAGCCCTGTGCCCCAACCCAGACAGAACCCCGGGTACGGAGAGGAGCTTCCGTGGTGCCCACCTGCTGCCCCTCCCCAGACACCCCCCAGTGTGGGAGGAACGGTGCTCAGCCAGGACAGGCGGAGTCTCACTCAGTCCACAGCCAGCAGACAAGCTCCCTGGTCAGGGGAGAACAGCGGGGCTGGGCAAGCAGAAGTGCTGCTAAAGGCTTTACAGATGTTCTACACTCGCCTCAAAGCACATTGTCCTCACAGGTGGGGGGCCAGTGCCAACCTGGGCTGGCTGGGGGCAAACCAGGTACCAGGAGCCCCTTTTGTTCACGTCACCTGTCTGGACCTGACCAAGTCCCAGCTGGCACCGCCACACACCCCACACCAGAACCACAAGGACCAGCCCAAACCCACAGAGTTTGACTTCAGGCTCAGAGGGGCTCCTGCTGCCACAGGGAGGCCCACCTTGGGCGAGGTCACATGCTGAGGGGCCAGGTAACTCACACCTATCACCACGCAGCAGCCCAGCCACAAAGTGGTGAAGAGATAAGGTTAAGGGACCAAGGAGGTCGAGACCCGCAGAACCAGCCCCTCCTCCAGGGCAGTCAGAGCAGGGACAGTTTAGAGAGGAAAGCAGCCTCTGGAAAGAAGGGGGCGGCCTGAGAGCTGAGTGGAGGCCCTGGCACCTATGCCTCTGGCTGCCCACAGGGCTCTGGGATGGGAACACAACCCACCTCAGGGCATCCCCAGAAGCAGCGCACACACACTTGCCCTTCCCAGAGACACCAGATCCCCAGTCTCCCTTGGTGGGATGCACATGCCAGACGAAGCGGCAGGCTCAGCTGTGAAATCTGGCCGGGAGCAGAGGGGCCCAGGGCTTTGGGGAAGACGCAGCCTGGGAGTGGCACATCCGGAGCCCCTCTCCTGGTGGCCTTCGTGGCAGCAGACACCCAAGAAGTAGAGAGGACTGGCCAGTCCAGGTCCCAACCAGTGCTATCTGAGGCAGCTCCCAGCCCCATGTGGGCACTGAGCTCGTGCACGGTGGCCGGACCAAGGGGGGGGCCTGTTCCAGGTGAGATACATGCAGATTTCGAAGACCTCCTACCACAAAGAACCCAGAATTCCTCACTTTTCCTGCTGAGTACATGTTCACAGGGTAATATTTTGAATATACTGAGTCAAGTTAATCAAACTCCTAAAATTAATTGCCTGTGTTTCTACTCTCCTTTGACATGGCTACCAGAAAATTCTTAAACTACCTCTGCGGGCCGCACATGTGGCCCACGTGGCATGTCGAGTGGCCAGTCAGTAGCCCCAGATGTGAGGGTCAGGGCTGGACCACCACCCATCCTGATCCCTGTGCAAAGGACCCACCCCAAGCAACAGTGGTCCCTGTGCCCTGCTTGCCTCCAATGGTTCCCGCCAGGACCCGCACACCACTTGCTCTGTGACGCTCGCCTCTTCCCCAAACTACCAAGTGAGAAAAGCCAGCTCCCTACATGTCCCTCCCTGTGGGGACCCAGGACCGGACAGGCCCCTGCCCCCTGCCAGCAGGGTCCTTACAGTGGCCAGCAGCTGACCAGCTCCTGCCCAGCCCCAGCACCACACCAGCCAATCAGGCACCTGGCCATGGCTCTGGGGCTGGCACTGCCTGCCCGTCCCCATGGGAACCCGCTTCACGGTGAGTGAACTCTGCCAAACAGTTTCAAGGAAAGGCTGGGCTTGCAACTTTGGGAGCTCAAGCTTAGGGATGCCCCTCACTGCTGGCCCAGTGCTCCGCCTCCAGAATTCATTCTCGGGAGGAATGGGGTTCGCACGGACCTCTGGCTGTCTGTAGAGCAGCAGACGGGACGGGTGGCTGGGCGCACAAGTGAGCAGCCCCACACAATCAGCCTGCACGGCCAGGGAAACAGTGCTGAAGGGATTTCTAGGGAGACCTGTGATCTAGTCATAAGCAAAGAAGAAAGAAGAAAGGGCGCAGGCGACCTTGGGCACAGTGCTCTCGTGTCAATGACGGACACATGTCCATGCAGCTGTCCCACCTCCTGCTTTATAAACACTCCCCGGCCACCTCCTCCTGCCATCAGCCATGTCTCTCCAAGGGCTGTCTCCACTGTTCCTGCTCTGTTTCATGAGCTACGTCTTAAGCACAGGGCACAAGTAGACCCATCCTGCAGGGCCTGTGGAACCACAAATGTCCCCAGGCAGCCCCTCAGCCTTGTCCTCGCCTGGTCCCTCCCCACCTGCACCCAAGGGACCAGGCCCTGCCCGTCATCACCCTCTCCCGACAGGGGACTCTTCCTCTTCGCAGCAGGGCATCCCCCGGCCCTTTACCCAGGGGGCCCCCAGCTTCTCTCTCGTTTGCTTTGGCCGGCACCCCGGGTTCCCTGTCCCATTGGTTGAGGAACTTCCTGGTCCTTTCCCAGGAGGAGACCCCACACTGTAGTGCCCCTGCCTCGGCCTTACTCTTCATGTGTGGCCCCTTCCATTCTGCTGGCCGAGACCTTTCAAGGAGGATAGACTCCCACCTCACGGGAGACGGAAACTCAGAGGGCCCAAGTTTAAACTGTTCATCACATGGCAGAAACTGACCCACACCCATTATCATTAACAGAACTTTCTTTTCACACGCGGCCCATTTTCATAAGGGTGTTATACCTAAAGCATTTGTCAGCTGAGGGGCCCAGCGCCTACTCCTCTCCTCATTGCTCAAGAGCCTCTCGGGTTCCCCACAGGGCACACCAGGAAAGCCAGTCGGAAAGATGCACTGCTGGTGACCAGCATCTGCTGGGCACAGTCGACGAACATGCAGCCCCTCATCCTTGACCAGTCCTCACACCAGGACTGCAGCGTCCCCACCACAGGGGCAGGCACAGCCAGCACCAGTCCCGACACTCACCTGGTCTGTGCAAAGTGACCAAGAAGCTCCCAGAGAGTCTGGCCTGAACAGAAAGTGTCCTGCACCCGGGAGCCGTCATCCAGCTGTAGAGCGACTCGAACCTGAGCAGCAAGACAGGGAGGCCGAGGTCAGGGGACAGGTGAGGGGAGAGGAGGGTGGACAGGTGTGGGGAGAGCTGGGGGAAGGGAAACGCCCCGCCCTATACCAGGGCCTGACTGGCAGGGCAGGGCTCCCAGGATCTCTGGGGTGCGTGGGGGACCGACTGCCACAAGCCAGTACTGTCTCCTCTGCACACACTGCATGTTGCTGCATCTCAGGCTGCGAGGTTGGGGGCACACTGTTACACAGCCATAAAGAACTAATACGTTGTGCTTTATGAACTTTTTTCATTATCGGGCACCTTACTCTTGTAAGTACATTTTAATAATTACGTCCTTAAAGCGGGACACAAGTCTCTAACCCAAAAGGGGGAAAATTCCCTTCTAGTCCCTCTGCCAACTGGCGACAGGCTAGAGCACCCTGACCCCAGAGGCATGTCCAAGCCCAGAGGCAGGTCCAACCCTGAGCACCCGCCAGCCCACCCGCCACAGCCTAGAGCGTCTAAGTCACAGTGAGGCCTGCTGTTTGGGCCAAGTGCCTCTTCTTCAAGGGCACACTTAGGTTAAATCCCAAAATAAAAGGGGGAGCTGCCTGTGTGAAACGCATCCCCAAACCCCTACCCAGGGCAGGGAAGTCAGAGTTCCTCCCACACGAAGTCTGGGCACTGTGGTCATGATGGAAAGGATGCTGGGGTCAGTCCCCATGCCCAGCTCCTGGTGGGCTCTGAGCTCCTTGTCCCTCAAGGGGACGCGCACGTCTCCCTCGTGGTGCTGGCAGAGCAGCAGCGACTAGAGTAAGTAATCGCGGCACGGAGAGGGCGGCTCTCGGTGGCTGGCTTCCCTAAGTCTCTGCAGCCTCAAACTGCTGCTCTGGCAGAAGGCTGGGGGCTGAGGACAGAAGACAGGCCGTGGGCCCAGTGAGGCAGGTCAAGGGGGCCTGGGGTTCCTCCCAAAAAGGGGTGGCATTCGAGGCCCCGTCGAGCTCCGCAGGCTCCAACACTAGTGACCCCGTCGAAACCAGGACCATCAGGCTGGAGGCGCTGCTCACACTCAGAGAGGAAGGCAGCACAGCAAACCCCCGACCGCCACCTCCGCACCACGAACGAAGTCTCATTCCAGTCACCAAAGTAGAAAGTGGCCCTGCCTGACTCAGGGCAGGTGGTTTGGGTGTGGGGCGCGCCCTGCCCAGCCCCCGCTACCCAGCCTCCATGGCCTCCCCCTGGGCACCTACTGTATTTTCAGGGCCCTCGCGGCTGCGGGACGCGGGCACCATCTCCAGCTTGGCATTGTTGGGCAGGTTGGCGAACCTCCACTGCAGAGAGAGGTCAAGCACATGCCTCTGAAACCTGCAACACAGACCACAGCCCACAGCTGCCTGCAGTCCTAATGCAGCTGTCCAGTGCTGACTGCGGCGTCCCCTGGCTGGTGCCCCGCGCCTGTGAGGACAGGACACGGCCTGAAGACAGAAACGAGTCCTGGCTCCAGCGGGGGAAGGGCAGCGCAGAACACCAACAGGCAGACCTGCACCAGAAGGTGGCCCTGCCACTGCATTCACCCTCCCAAACGGACCAGCTCCTGTCACTCCTGCTCCTGCCACCTTGCAGCAGGGCCACAACCTCCAGGACAGGAGGCAAAGGTTCTAAAGACCCACAGACAAAAGGACTGCCGGAAACCCCCCCGAGAACCAGGCCATCACAGGGCTGAGACTGCCACTCCCAGCTCGCAAAGCCAGATCCTTAACCCCAGAGTGGCCCCTTAGTGTCCTGCATGTATTAGCCACTGCACAAGGACCTGGCAGCTATGAGTCTCCCAACTGGTCAGGAAGAGGCCAGTGTGGCTCAGCTGGCTGGGCATCGTCCATGCACTAAGAGGTCCCCAGTTCAATTCCTGGTCAGGGCACATGCCCAAGTTGCAGGCTCAATCCCCAGCAGGGGGTGTGCAAGAGGCAGCTGATCAATGTTTCTCTCTCTCCCTCTCCCTTCCTCTCTCACTACAATCAATAAAAATATATATATATATTTTAAAAAAAAAGCCAACATGTGCCCCAAACAACAGGGTGGCCCCAGCCTCCTCGATTCCCAGCACAGAGCTCCCATGTCCAAGCCAGCACAGTTTCTCAGAAGAAACCGGAGGAGAGGGGAGATTGGATGAGTCAGGACAGGAAACGCCCAAGGGCAGGAAAGGGTCCCTGGGCCTCTGTGACAAGGGTCTTTATCAGCAGCCGGCCCTCCAGGGGCCACGCTCAGCTTGTTTCACAAGAAACTCATGTGAGAACAGGTATCCGAGGCCACTCAAAGGCAGAGCTGGAACCATAAAGGCAGCTCCTGGTGTCCAGCTTGGATCACATCAGCTGTGGACCAATAGGAGTTGGACACCTGCTCCTGAGACAAGGAAAAAGACAGGAGGGGGTAGCTCGGAGATCCCGGCACTGCCTCACCCGTGGGCAAGGAGGGTCAGGCTAGGCAACTCCGAGGCCTTCCTGACCCTGGTCCCTCTCCTCCAAACCCCTTTAGCTCCTAGGTTGCCCACAAGAACCACCACCATTCACCCTAGAGAAAGGCCACAGCATCTGTGTAACCACCAGGACGTGGCCCTGCATGTAGAGGACACAGACAGCGAGTCACAGGAAGAGTAAGGGAACTTACACAACTCAAAATTCAGATCTTAGCTCTACTTTTATCGGAAGTTTAGGAAAAAACAGTGGTGGTGAGAGACTGTGTGGGATTTGAACACAGAGTGGTCACCCAGGGGCAGATGCCAGCATGCTGCAGGAGACAACGTGGTTTTCCGAATTTGACTGATTTATAAGGTGCAATGTTTGTAAGAGAAAGAAGCAGTTTTGACAACCAGGGACCCCACAGAGGGGAAGCTGTCTCAGGCACTGAGTCATGGACACACACACCCGAGGCTACCCTCCCTGGCAGTGGCAGTGCTTCCCAAACAAATTAGTTGACTTTTGAACAACGAAGGAGTTAGCGGTGCCGACGCCCGCACGGTCGAAAATCCCGCACCGGCCAATTTGAGGCTTCCAAACTTTTCCTTGTTTTAGACCCTCGAGAATCTGTGAACGCCCTCTCTCTGGAAAAATGCCCGCAAGCAGAGACCCGTGCGAGCACCTCCAGAGTCTGAGGCCACCGGATTTCCCCTCAGTGCAGGTTTCTTCCCATTTTTCCTTGACCACTTCCTCTTGCCCTCAGAGCCCCACCAGGAGCTTACACAACCAAATGCACGAAAACCCTGTGCAATTAGACGGTGGCACCTGAAAGGATACGCCGTTGCCCTGGCCAGGTAGCTCAGTTGGTTTAGAGGACTGTCCTGATACAGCAAGGCTGTGGGTTCGATCCCTGGCCAGGGCACAGACAAGAAGCAACAAATAAATGTATAAATGAGTGGAACAAGTCCATGTTTCTCTCTCTCCTTTCCTCTCTAAAAACCAGTAAGTAAAAATAAAAATAAAAAGATACGGTGTGTCCTGAGCCCCAAAACTCGTGACTGTGCCCTTATTTGGAAATAGGGACTTTGCAGATGTAACTGAGTTAAGGACTTCGCAGTGACAGCATCCTGGATCAGGGCACGTGCTTATGCGAGAAAGGAAAGGAGAGAGCACACAACACACGTGGACAGGCGAGTGAGGAGGCGGCAGACTGGGTGACGCCGCCATACGCCAAGGGACAGCTGGAGCCACCACACTCCCAACAGGCAGGAGGGGTGCAGCCCTGCAGCACCTCGACTGGAGCTCCCGGCCTCCAGAACCGTGAGAACACAAACTCCTGCAGGTCTGCGCCCCTGGGCAGAGCCCTGGGGGGGCTCGGGGAAGCCTGGAGAGGAACTCACTTCAGGTCATATTCCCCGGGGTTGAAGTCCTGCCGCCGGCACGTGTCCTCCAGGACCTGGGGGCGACAGGAGAGGACGCGTCCGGCCGTGTCGCTGGGCCGGCAGGCACAGTGGCACGGAGGCAGCTGGGGGTCGAGTCCCCCTCTCGGAGGGAGGGCGGTGGCTCCGCTGGACAGAGCCTGGCAAAGCCGCAGGGCGGCCCGGCCACTCAGCAGCTCCGCGCGCCCGGTCCGGGAACCCCGTCCAGTCCCCGCCCTGCCCGGTCACCCAGCCCGCCGGCCCGCAGGACAGTGCCCATCACCACGGGCACCCTCCCACGCAGACTCCAGACCTGCCCCCTGCCCCCCCGAGCAGAGTCCCCACTGGGGCGCCCGGCGCCCTCCTG